CGGGGGGGGAGGGGTGGGGCGCAGCGCCGCACTGCGCACGCGCGGACCCCGCGGGCTGCGGGGGGGGGAGGAGGAGCGGCGCTGCTTCGCGCATGCGCCGCGCACGGAGCTCTCCCCCCCCTCCCGCGGCGAGGACCGGAGTGACGTCACTGCTCCTCTCCCCCGCCCGCGTCCCTATGGAGGGCCCAGGCGTCCGGGAGGTGGCACCTCGATGTCCCCATGGGGGGGGGTCACGGTCACTTCCCCCCCCATCGGGACGCCCCAGGGTCCCCAGATGCCTGCAGGTCCCACGTGCTGCCCTGTGGCTGCCTCCCTGGTGGCACCAGCGTGGCTTGTGACGCGGGATGAGCATTGGGGTTGTGGTGTCTCCAGCCATGGACGTGTCCCAAACCCAGCTGGACGTGGCCTTGAGCCGTTCTGAGCAGGACGGGTGGCGCGGGATGATCTTCAGCGTCTCCAACATCAGGTTTTTGGTCCCTGTGTGAAGATCCCATTGGGGTCCACCTCGGCCAAGCAGGCGCACAATGCACCCATGGGTCTCCGGGTGCTTAGACTTCCACTTTTACCCTAAATTGTCATTCAGGGCTTAACCCAGTTGGYTACAAAGAGGCATTTTGATGCCTCCAAGATGCCCTGGGGGAGCTGAAGTCCCGTGAGGGCCTGGAAAACAGGACCCAGGACCTGCAGGAGCCCTCCTGGAGCACAAGGTGGTCCTAGACAAGGTGCCTATGGCCAGTGTGATGACTTCTTTCTGTTTCTGCGACCCTTGTTCCTGCTCTGGGTCCTGGGTGCCCATCACCTCTCCACGTGAGACAGAGTATGACCCAGTCCCATTCTGTGCCTTGGACCTCACTGGTCTTTCCAGCATTTCCAAGATCCTGATGGAACTGGTCATTCCTAAAGTTATCCATCTATCTCTGTCCATCCGTATGTCATGTGCAGCTCCCGACCTCACTAAGGAAAACTAAAGCAAAAGTAGCTCAGCAGGGAGAACATTAGACTGGTAGATCTAAAAGACCTTGGTTCAAGGCCACTTGACTTAGAAAGTGGGAGGTAAAGCCCGTGGGGATGATTAAGGACTTGTGTACACCTGGACATGGACCTAAGGGACCTTCCTTTTCCTTCATGTCCAGGCTTTGTTGGGAGATGTTCAGGAACAACATCAACTGCAGCATGTTGATATCTCTTATTCTGATGGAAACGAGGAAAAGTGGACGGCTGCTCACTGCAGAAATCTTCAAATCCAGGCCATACTCCCCAAATCTCTCCAGCTGGCCACAGAGAACTGGTAGAATCAAAGATATTTACACAGAATATGTCGAAATTTTCCATCTCTGTGAGCCCTCTGGTGCCAGGTCCTTGAACTGCAGACACTGAAGGAGCTCGAACAAACTTCGGCAGAAGTTGGGAGTCGGGAGCAAAACAAAGAGTCTGCCGGAACACGAATGTCCCAGTAAGGGTGATCTCCAATATGGYTGTGACGGTATCCACAGAATGAGGAGTCCCTCCCAGGGGCGAATAGAGCAGATACAGGTGGACAAAGGAGATGCCTTAAAGATCTAAAGGTCCTTGGATCAAGCGAGGGCTTTGGGATTACTGTCCTTGTCAACAGCATCCTTGTTGGTTCCTCTTGGCCTTTTGCAGAGCTGCTCTGTCCATGGCCATATCCCACACAGGATCCAGCTGGAAGGGACTCTTACTTTGCCCCTTTACATCC